TTAAAGGAATTTATTTCACAAAGTGAAACACCAAGTGATACTGAAAGTATTTCACAAAGTGAAACACGAAGTGATACAGAAAGTATTTCACAAAGTGAAACACGAAGTGATAATACAAGAAGAGATAACATAATTGATTTATTCAAAGGATACAGCTCTAGCACAAAAGACAAAACAGAAGTTAATTCAAAACTTAAAAAAATAAACTGCAATAAACTAATGGTATTTGATGCTAATGGTTTGTACGCTTCAGCAATGTCGGATTTAGACAGTGAATATCCAAAAGCAGAAAGTGCTAGACCGTTTCTACCAGAAGAAGAAGAAAAAAAATTTGTAAAACTCTTCAATGAACAGAAATTTATACCTAGAACAGCTATTTTAAAAGTGTGGTTTAACTATCCGAAAAACATGTTCTTCCAACCGATACCAGCTAAAGATAAAATCACTTTCACGAATAAAGAAGGAAAAAAGGAAACTGGCAGTAAAATCGGTTTTAGAAATGGTTTCTGTTCAGATGTTTTAACATCGGTCGATATTCAAGAAATAGTTAAAGCCGGTGGACGAATTATTAGAATATTAGATGGTATAGTATATGAAGAAAATTTTAAAACTCCACCATATAGAGATTATATTTTAATTTTAAGAGATCTTAGAAATAAATATAAACGAGAAGGTAATATTGTGGGTAGTAATTGCATGAAATTATTAGGCAATTCTTTGTATGGTAAATCTATTCAGAAGGATAGAAACACGAGAAATCATTTGTGGAATGAAGTAACATTTCAGGCTAACTTCGACTCACATGTTAAAAACTATGAAAAAATAAATGATACTCAATATTTCGTTGAGACAAAAATTAAAGAAAAAGAGATTACTGCTTAAGGTCACTCAACTAAATCTACAGGTCTAACACCTAGTCATTTGGGATCATTCGTTTTATCTCACAGTAAAAAAATAATGAATAATTTCATTCATGTAATAAATGGATTTTATAAACCTGAAATATACTATACCGACACTGATAGTTTATACATTTCATCTAGAAATTGGGATAAATTAAATCGAGCTGGGTTGATATCTGAAAATGAATATTGTAAAGGCAAGAATGATTACGGTGATGGCGCCAATAAGTCAAATATAATATCTGATGGTGTTTTAAAAGAAAAACGTTTAAGGGTTATTCTAATAATAAGACAAGTGTAGAAGATTATATTTAGTTGGCTAGTGGACATGGTGTGTCGAATGAATTTAATAAAAGATGCGAAAGAAGTTTCACGAATGGAGTAGTTATTCCAAAGGATGATGATAAACAAAAGAAAGTTTTTAGAAGTTATTTGAATCTTGTAAAGAGAAAACAGTGGAGGATTCATGTTTCCTTATAGAAATAAAGATGAGTATAATTTTGATAATTACCTATATATTCAAGAAGAGAATGAAGAGTGATTAATAAGTTCTTTTGTTTTAAATGAAGTTGAATAACAATTTACCAAAATCAATAAACCTATTTTTACCATCTTTGATTTCCAGATTTATATTTTTAATCATGGACGAATTAAGTGGTAAATATGTTTGTTTGAAATGGTTTCTCTATAATTCTATATCCAATCGGTACAGTGAATGTTGGAATATTAGCTTTATGCGGCGCTAAAGTGGATTGTGTGTATATTTGCTTATCAAATCCTAATAAAGTATTCAAAGAATTTTCTACGTTGAAATCAACTTGACTCTTATTTCTCAATATCAATTATATTTTGTTCAGATTCAAATTACCTTCGAATTCAATATTGTTTTTACCATTTGTACTTCCTTCATATGCAGATAGATATTCGTTTATGACAACGTATTCATAGCTTCCTGGTAGTAAACGTATGGTTTTGAATGTAGCTCCGTTATCTGTTGATATTTTCATCTGGTTATTATTTTCGTTAATATTTCTAATGGAATTGTAAACAGAGAAATATTTTATATATATTCTTCATTGCGATCGAGTTCATACTCATAATCTAGAGACAATTTAATGTCTGATCTATTTGAGGTGATGACGAATAATTGTTCTTTATTTGGCATTTTTTCAATGACTATTTTTATTGGATAATTTTATCAATTACGTTTTTATAATCATTTTTATCTATAATACCTTTCTCTGGGAATCTTTTTAATATGCATTATATTGTCTGTCTGAACGATGACCTTCTTTCATTGCTGCTAATATTATTTCTAATCTATTAAGCAATTCTTCATTATTATCGGATAAAAAAGTTATACCTTGTCCACTGTTTTCTCTAGCTATCTCCTCTTCCTATTCGTCTATTTCTAGTATGATTGAATTGTCTTCAGCATAATCATCTACTTCGTCAACTTCGTATTCATCATCTTGATTAATAGCTTTTATATATAGATCAACGTCTTTTAATCTTCTTGTTTCGGGCAATATCAACATCCCCCCATTCATTAAATCTATTAATCCTTCTATTAATGTAAATATAAAGTCTTTTGTATCGATTTTGAATTGTGGTGAATATGCACTAAATGTTATTCTAAATCCATTAAACAATAACCCTTTATTATCAACAATTGGTGTAATGCTCTTTGGTAAATCTAAGTTTGGATTTGAAAAATAACGTTTTATATCATCTAATGTCCTAATTATAAAACCACCATATTCAATCGGTTTTGGGGGAGTAGTATATGAGCTCATAGATTGGTCGCATTTTTCCACATTCCATTTCATTTCATGNGAAAAATGCGACCAATCTATGAGCTCCAAAAAAACAAGACCTAAATTCCCTACATTTCATAAATTCTTACAGCAAAACATCCTACATTTCATAAATTCTTACACTTAAAAAAGACCTAAATTCCTTACATTTCATAAAACATCCTAAATTCCCTACATTTCATACACCAAAAAACACCCTCAATCAATTTCCCACATTCCATCAAAAAAAAACATATTAAAAATACCCTTATATAAAATAACATCCTTGTTTCGCTTATCATCCGGTTTTTAATAGTCTCATTTTAAGTAATGTTATTTTTAGTCTAGAAAAGGGAGATAACTCTTTTTTGGATAAAAAAACAGACTAAATTAATTCATTTAAAAATATAGTTTTGAAGATTACCTATATATTCAAGAAGAGAATGAAGAGTGATTAATTAGTTCTTTTGTTTTAAATGAAGTTGAATAACAATTTCTTCGTTACGAAAATCAATAAACCTAATTTTACCATCTTTGATTTCCAGATTTATATTTTTAATCATGAACGAATTAAGTGGTAAATATGTTGTTTGAAATGGTTTCTCTTCCTACATTTCATAAATTCTTACACTTAAAAAAGACCTAAATTCCCTACATTTCATACACCAAAAAACACCTTCAATCAATTTCCCACATTCCATCAAAAAAAGCATATTAAAAATACCCTTAATATAAAATAACAT